GATGAAGAGAGGTGAATTATTTTCATGCAAATAAACAACTCCTCAAGATTTACGGGTTTAATCAATGACCAGAGAAAGAATTCAGTTTTGTTTGTGTTTTATTGCAGCACAAAGGCGTGAACATTTTGCTGAGTCACCATTGCAGTAAAACTTTGAAAGGCTGTTTTTCGAATCTTGAATCAAGCCCGATGGTTGGCTGTGTGGCCTTGATGTGACTTTATTACAGTTGAATGAATGCATTTAACATATTGAAGGAGATCCTGGTGCAGGTTTGTGGACGTTTGCAGTTTTGGTTGCGGGATGTGTTTGTATAAAAATAATGCAGCTTTACAGAAACATTCAACATGACTCAACATTTCTCTTTCATTATCAAATCAAATCCAGCTTATTGTCATGTTGCTGTACATACACAGCAGTACAGGCAAGATGAGAGAGCCTTTCTTCAGGATCCATTAGCTGGAAGTATTTAACCGTGATCCATGTCCCAGTTTGTAAAACCGTTTGTGTTTCTCTTGCGTTTGCTTTACATCAGAGTGCAAATGCATCACGCCTCTGCACACAGGATGCGTTCTGCATTATCTTTTTTTGCAGTAGCAGAAACATTTACTTGAAAAGAAGAACATTGAGGTTAGAATCAGCTCACTGTGACAAAACAGAAAATCTGACACTGGAAAAAAATCCCAGGAGGCCGACACCTCAGCGTGAAGCAAACCGCGTGTGATCGAAGAACCGGTCTGAGTTTACCGGAGAAAGAAGCTGAATCAGCTTGTTCAGAAAAATCAGAAAAATATGTATTTATCCCAGAGGGGCAATTAGTGACTAAGCAAAAACTAAAAAATCATCATCAGCTCAGACATTATTAGTCAGTCACTTTGCACGTTTCACCTTGTATATATACATGTACATCATCTTATTATTATTTTCTTTCTTAATTTATTCCCTTTTTACACTGTTTGACAATTTGATTTATTTATTTCTGCTATTTCTATCTCTCTCTCTCTCTCTCTCTCTCTCTCTCTATGTATATATATTTATTTCTTGTGTGTTTTATTCCTTATTCTTATTTATCTGATTATTACTGTGAATGTATAACTGTGTTTGTGACCAATAAAAGACCTTGAATTCTTGAGCAAAAAATCATCATCAGTTTGCTCATTATTCGCCTTGCACTCACATCTTTACCTATTTTGTATTGATTAGTGGTATTAAAAAACAACTAATTAATTAAAGGCTTTGTGCTTCATTAATCTCACTCAATCGGATTTTAATCTCAAAGCAATATTTGACACAATAAGTAAAGTTTTTCAATTCAAATGAATTTTGGTTGACATATAACTTAAACAACAAAAAATCTTTATTTTTCATCTGTATCTATCAGTGCATTTGTCATCTACATTCACGTATGTACTGCCGGTACCAGGACTGTCTGAGCTAAACCTTATCTCTCCGTGCTCGCAGCAGCATGTTTTGCAGCTGAAGCTTTCCGCCCAATCAGGGCTCCAGATTAACTTTTTTACTGGTAGCACCAAAGTCATAAAAGTGCTGCTTTCCACCTCTGTGGTTAACACAGTGGCTTCCTGTGCCGGTTACAGCGTCACTATTACAGTTCAGTGTTCATGTGCCAACGGCTAAACTTTCAACTGCACACTCGTCTACATCCCTGTTCACAACTTCCTCGTGCGCTGACGTCATTCAAACTTCTTCTCTTGTTCCCGCAAACCAGTGGTTCTCAAACTTTTCTGTCAGGCCCCCCTTCGGAGGACAAAAATCTTTGCATAGTCATGAATTGAGCCAATTTAAATTTACTGAAATTAAATACCGTGAGCAGTCAAATAGTGCAGCAACAACCTGCTCAGTCATCAGTAAAAGTATCGGGGGGAGGACAGCCTTCAATTTTGTGGTGGTAGTCTCATCAGTCATGGTTGACACCATGTCAAGAGCAGTGGGCAGCAGGAGGTCCTCAGATGTTGGGTGTGGTTTCATGCGATCCTGTTACAGGGCTCCAGACGAACTTGGTGGCACTGATGCTACCGACTTACTTCATTGGTCGCACCAGCTAATGATCTGGTCGCCCCACTCCCTTATTTTGGATTGCCACCACTATTAATGCACCATGCAGCTGATGAATAGTGAATAAATGAATGAATGAATGAATGAATGAATGAATGAATGAATGAATGAATGAATTGTTTTTGTATAACTTAGTTGTGTTACAATGATTCTCAGTGATACAAGACTAGATATTTGTAAAATGTTTTAACCTTAAAATATATTTATTTTGTCACCAATCCTCTTCTAATACCAGTCATTGACTGGACACAGACTGAACAATAGCTCAAAGTGCCCATGGACAGATGGTGCATTTTACCGATGTTCCCTGAACGCCTCACCTGCTGCTCCGGCAGATGCCACCAGGTGTGTTCAGTGCAGCTCCTCTGACAGGTGGGCGAACAAAATGATTAGCCCCCTTGATGCTAATAGTCAGCTGTGTGTCCTTTTTGCTGGGAGCTTGCAGTCGTAGTTTCTAACAAGTCTCTGACACATCTTCTGTAGAACCACAGTCCATTCTTCTTTGGCAAATCTCCCAAGCTCCTCCAGATTTGATGGTCTTCTGGCATGGACCATGGTCTTCACATTTTAGGTCCATTTGTGGACCTTGATGTCTTAGTGTGTAGAATAGAATTATTTTTAATGATCCCCCCCATTGGGGGAAATTTACATACTTTGGACAATTTTGGTTCATTTTAGACAGATTTTGTGTGATTCTTGACAACTTCTTTTTATCTTAAACAAGTTTGAGTTGTTGTGATTCATCGTAGACACAATTTCGGGTCATTTTAGACACATTTCAAACAATTTTGCACAAGTAAATGTTGTTTTTGACAAGTTAATGCAATTTGTAAAAGGTTTGGTTCCTTTTCGACAAATTGTAGTTTCTTCTTTGTATTTTTTGATACCTGAGAGCTTTTGTTTGGTGTCTTACACTAAAAATATATTGCAAATGAAGAATATTTCATGTCAATGAAAAAATGAAGTTTCAATGCTGCTTTTTAAATTAAATTCACTGAAGTACAATCAATTAGTTAAAGTTAATTCTGTGAGTTAACTGGGCCCAAAGCCATTTGATTGACAGCTCAGTCTATCAAGTAAAAAATGAAACAAAAGGAAAAAAACAACAAAAGGGAAAAAAAGACAAAAAGGAAAAACAAAAAGGAAAAACAAAGTCAGTCTTTTAAAATTTATTATTTTATTTATTCATCTTCATATTTACACATTTATTTCCTTATTTTGTAACAGATTTTTTTTTTTTTTATGGCACGCCTGTGATTCCATAAGACCGCACCTCGACGTGCGCCACGTCCGACACGCGTGGAAGCAATAATTAATTGTTGTTGTTGTTGTCTGCATTTTTTGTTGTCTTGTACTTATCACAGCGTCCAGTAGATGGGGAAATAGGACAGTAACTTGAGGTGTTTTCAATGTTAGAAGAAGAACCGCCTCACGACTGCAAAGTCTGTGTTGCGACATGTCGAAAAACAAGCGGAACGATTTGCGGCAGTACTGAGCAATACTTGTTGTTTAGTTGTTGTTAAAAGAGAAACTGTCACATCAGGCTTCTTCCCAGTAAGTGCAAATCAGTCACCGTGTTTCGGACTCATTTTAGTTTCGCTTTTGACGCGCTTTCTGCTGAAATACGTCGTCAAATTGTGGGGAAAGTCCAAATAGCAGCAGTTTTTTTCTTTTTCTTTCTCTGTGAAACAAGGAACTACACTAACCGCATTCTGTTACAGCGGGTTTGTCCACTGATCCTGCCCCCGAAAAAGCGATGCTGGTCACCGTTTTCTGCGCGCCGAGGGATCGCCCAGAAACCACCTTCGCCCTCGATGTGTCCCCGGACCTGGAGCTGAGAGACTTCGTAGCACTTTGTGAACTGGAATCAGGAATCCCGGCTGGAGAAATCCAGGCAAGACCCGAGCTAGCTGTAGCCGCGGAGCTAACGTAGCTTCAGGCTAACTCGGCTAGCCGACTCGCTAGCATGAATCGGACTTTTGTTGTTCGGACGGTTGAGGCGTTGCGAAACTTGACTTATCGACAACAGACACGCATTTTCCGACCTTTGTTTCCCCACATTTTATAACACATTTTCGCAGACAGTGTAGGCGGCTTTAACGTAACCGAAAGTCGACCTCATGACACACCAGCGGATCTCACTGTGGTGAGACTAGTGAGCAGATGGAGGACTGCTGCTGCTGCTGCTGCTGTGGAGTTATCGGACTTAACACACTTATTTAGGGCGTTGTGGAGCTGCTTTTATCAAGCCTGATAGCTCACAGTGTTAGGGAAACGCTTCATAGACACACGATCCACACCCATGTGTTTAGCACATCCCATATGTTTTCATTTATCTGACCTTTGAGTTTAAAACCTCTTTTCTCGGGACACCTACCCGGAGAATGTGCATCATTATGGAGGGACAAATAACACCAGCGTGATATTTGTGCACAAGACAAAAGCATATTTAAACAACCAAGGGATTAAAATACACAAAACAAAATCCATTTAGTGATTTCACTCTTGAATTAACACATATTTGGATGAGAGCTGGAAGGCAAACAGAGTCACTGGGCTGTAGTGAGCTATGTGGGTTATTACAGGAACAAAATAGGAGAATATAAGCTCATAGCAAATTTTGTGTACCCTGTATAGCAGCCATTTAGATGAGCGAGAAATAGAGCAACTTCTGGTAAGTGATAGAACATTTTACACAAGTAAGACGGGAATTCACCCAGTACTGCTTTAACATTAAAAATCCATCCATCCATCCATTATCTATACTTAATCCTCACTAGGGTCACTGGAGTCTATCCCAGCTGACTCAGGGTGAAGGCAGGGAACACCTGGACAGGTAACCAGTCTATCACAGGGCTACACTTAGAGACAGACAACCAAGCACACTCACATTCACACCTACGGACAATTTACAATCACCAATTAACCTCAGCATGTTTCTGGACTGTGGGAGGAAGCCGGAGAACCCGGAGAGAACCCACGCTGCACGGGGAGAACATGGAGACTCCACGCAGAAAGATCACGGGTGTCCTCACCTTCTAGCTGTGAGGCGACGGTGCTAACCACCGTGCAGTCCAAAATTTAAAAAAAATATATATATGTATATATTCCTGCAATTAATGTAGGTCAGTGTATCATGACTGAAATATTAATTAGTAGAGTTTATATGTTTACTGGAGAAATACAGCTGTTAGAGTTCAAGTCTAAAATAAAACAAGGGTATTACATGACAAAGATCGCAGCCACGTTAAGTATGACCCTACAATAAACAGATTTACTGCCCTACCAAAGCCTCTAATTACAGTTTTATCAGGACTGTGTCAAACCAGGTTAAACACATAGTTGGGGACAAAGTACAACATTTTCTAATTGAGTGGCTTTTCCGTCTTTATCTAAAGTCGGGGATAGCGGTTGAGTATCTGGTTGGACAAAACAAGCAGCTTGATGTCGTCACCTCTAAACTGATGGTCACGTTGCATTATTGATGAAGAAGAAAACATTAGTGGTAGATGAGTCAGCCAGGACGGTAATCATTAGTCCACTGCTACTGCCTTTTAAAAAAAAAAAAAAGTATTCCAAATAGAGCTTACAGCCGTTTCATTGTTGATACTGTTTGGTCTGTTTGTGGGACGCTGAAAACTGAAAGTAGAAATGATGGATTGCAGTGATGCAGTGACTCCAGTCAAGCAGAGAGGAGTTGATCCGGATTTACAGGAAGGAAGCTGCTGTATTTATATCAAGTTTTAGCCAGATAAACATTACTAAAGCATTGTTGTAATGTGGTTTCCTGAAGATTCGTCAACAGCAAGTGGGACAGCCGTATATGCTCCTCAAACACAACGTGAGCAGGACTAGTGAGGACTTGTGAATCTGTGTTTTGATTTGTGATTTATTGAAGTGTTTTTCTGTGTTCAGATCACATATGTAGAACAGCCCCTAAAAGACCCCACTCGTGCCTTGGGGACCTATGGAGTTAAGGATGGAGATGTGGTGGTTCTCCGGCAAGCTGACAGAAGGCCACCACCGACTCAGCCAGCCTTCCCAGGTAACGCACACGTTTGTCAAAGCCACGGGAGGGGTGAATAAGATAAGTCATTGAAAGTGTGAGGAAAGTATTTCATGGGAAAAAAGCAGAGTTCTGTGCAGACAAGGTGTCTCAGCAACAATCTAGATTCTGTAAACAGGAAGTCCCTTGGGACATAATGTAAAATAACCTGAGAATATTTATGCATCATCAATTTGAAGAGTAGCGCTTTTCTTCGTGCAACATCCTAATATTCTATCCTTTATCCTCTGTGCTTCTCAGGTCTGCCCCATATTGACTTTCGCTCCATCACAGTCCCAAGCACCTCTTCTTCAACCAGTCAACGTGGTGCCATAAGGCCGCAGCAACAGGCTTCACAGCCGCCGCAGCCGCAGCCGCAGCCGGTGCCGGTGCCGGTGCCGCAGTCGCTGCCGCAGCCGCTGCCGCAGTCGCAGTCGCAGCCGCAACCGCAGCCACAGCGCGCCGCACAGCCTTCCACGCCAATGGCCTTTCGCGGCTCCTCTCCTCAGGGGCTGGACGACCCCGCCTTACTTCAGCAGATGCTTTTATCCAATCCACACGAGCTTTCACTCCTCAAGGAGAGAAACCCTCCGCTCGCCGAAGCCCTGCTGAGCGGAGACTTAGGTGAGCGAAGGCGGCGATCTGACGTGTTAACAATCTTTTAATTAGATGGGAATCATTCACCTTAACTGTTTTTCCTCAGAGCGTTTCACCAAAGTGCTGCTGGAGCAACAGCAGGATCGAGCCAGAAGAGAGCAAGAGAGGATCAGACTGCTGACTGCTGATCCTTTTGATTTGGAAGCCCAGGCAAAGATTGAAGAGGACATCAGGTACGAGGAGCCGGAGATTGTTGATCAGAGGGAAACATTAACCTCACAAAATATTCCTCGTCTCTAACAAGTGTCTCACCTTCGGGTTTGTCCACATTCCAGGCAGCACAATGTGGAAGAAAACATGACCATTGCAATGGAGGAGGCCCCAGAAAGCTTTGGACAGGTGGTTATGCTGTACATTAACTGCAAAGTCAATGGCCACCCTGTGAAAGCTTTTGTTGACTCAGGTAAAGAGCATTAAATCCTACAAATAGCTACAAGTGTGTTGGGGCAAGAACCGGAGTGATACATGAATATTGGTGGGCTACGTAGTCGTTGACGTTGTGTGGTTGAACCAGTGGTAGGCTAGCATCGGTATGAAAGGTTGTGCAGCCCTCAGTGTGGTCTGCAGTGCTTCAGTACCATTTGAACTATGTCAAGTGTTATCTGATGATGTGGTATAATTCTGTCCTCCCGTTAATTCGACTCTAAATTCAGTTAGCTTGTTTTGCTGGTATTAATCGCACGTGTAAAAACATTACAATTTGCTGCTGTCAGCTACTAGTTGAAGTAAAAAAAACAAAAAAACACATACAGCTCAGTAAAAGTACAAGTAGCTTCTTCCAGTGGGTTATAGGTTATAATCTGAGCTCTTTCTGGATTGCCAAACTTCTCACCATGCCCCTGAGGGAGCCAAGACACCTGCCACAGAACTCGATTTGGGCATTTTGCATGTCATGATTTTTATAACAATGGTATGAACCAGCCACGATCTGAAAAAGTGTCGTCATCCTTGAGAAATATATTGTACCAAATAGATAGATGTGCACAGCTTTGTATTCCTGTCTTCACTGCACAGGCAATTCTTGATTTCTCGTTTTGTTTTCTTCTGTTTTGTAGGAGCCCAGATGACCATCATGAGCCAAGCGTGTGCCGAGCGCTGTAACATCATGCGACTGGTGGACCGGCGCTGGGCTGGGATCGCCAAAGGAGTGGGCACCCAGAAGATCATTGGCAGAGTTCATTTGGGTTGGTGTCACGATTTTTCAAGCATAAGCAGCTCTGCAGTTTTGTTTTGTTTTTTTCACAAAAGCAAGACCAGACAAGTCAGTAACACATTTAGGTGTCAGCACAGTTACTGGCTTGCTTTAACTTAAAACTACAGTTATGGTTTGAAATATGTATGTAATGAAAATGTAATACTAGAAACAGAAATACGACCAGCGCCACCTCAACAGTATTAAATCCACGAGAGAAGAATAATTCTCTGAACTTCTCCCGTAGATCCTTATAGTAGACTAAGTGCACATTTTATCACACCTGTAAAACTGTATGAAGAAACAGAAAATGTTGTTAAACATTGCTTGACTCTGGGTAGGTAGAATCATTTCCAAAACTTGATGTAACTCTCTAGATATTTCCATATTCAAGTGTCTTTAAGGCATTTCAGTGTACAGTGGTGACTCCATAATCGACCCTTAACAATCCTAAACCTGCTATCCGACAGGTTTTTAGGAAAAACCAACAGAACCCATAAAAACAGCCTTAACATAGCGACAGCCTTGGATTCTGACTCCAACATGACATTTAATGTCACCAATCAGGATGATGGCGTATTATCTGACTGAACAATCCCACAGATTGGCTACGTTCACACTGCAGGACTTGATGCTCAATGAGGATTTCTTTGTGACTTCCTTCACGTTTCCACTTCAATGCGACTTGTATGTGATCTGCTGTGTGAACTTCATACGAGCCAAAAGTGTCCCGCATGCGCAGAAGAGGACACGACGACGTCACACGCAGCGAGCGTGCTCAGTGTTTATGGAAGTAAACATGGATGGTAACGGTGGAGCGTATCTGCCACTCCCCCGCCGCCACCGATGGAGGAAACAGAAGTGTGAGCGCTAACTAAACTAGCATCAGCAGCCAAGTACTGCCTGTGTGTTCTGGACACTTCCACCCCATCAGAGCGCTGCCCCGGGGTGGAAGTGGCCGGAACGTGCAGAAGCACACCGGTCAGTTAGGCTGAAATCCAGCGATGCGTAGTGTTCTAACAATACACTAGTTATTATAACAACTATGAACAATAATGAACAACTAATGAGCCTTCCAGCATCAAGCCCTCCTTGTATCTCAACCTCCGTCTTGACAATCCGACAGCCTTGCTATCCGACATAAAAGAAGGTTTTGCTTTTAGTGTCGGATCATCGAGTCACAACTGACTGAAATGTCTTGTTGTGTCTGTCCAGCTCAGGTCCAGATAGAGGGGGACTTCCTTCCTTGTTCTTTCTCCATCTTGGAGGACCAGCCGATGGACATGCTGCTCGGCCTGGATATGCTGAAGAGACACCAGGTGTGAGCTCTTTTTTGTCTGAGCACAGGAATAATATCGTGGTTACGTTGTCTGTTAATTTAATGTAAACTTAACATTAACTGGGAGCCTCATTTGTCCTCTTCTTAGTGTTCAATCGACTTGAAGAAAAGCGTGCTCCTAATAGGCACCACAGGCACCGAAACCCGCTTCCTCTCTGAGGCGGAGCTGCCGGAGTGCGCCCGGCTGGCGTACGGAGCAGAGGGACGCGAAGACGCCCGTCCGGATGAGATAGCCGACAGAGAACTGGCAGAGGCGCTTCAGAGGTCCATACAGGAAAGTGGTAAGAAAGTGTCTCTGCACCTCAGCCTGTTTTCATAGAGCTTTTGTCAGCTCAGTTGGAACTACCTTTGCATGTGCCACTTAAAGCTTCTTACTCTCAACCCCATTGATGCAGTCATCTAAATATTCAGTCACATAATCACGTCATGTCATCACCTCAGCAAATCAAATGTGTTTCTCAGGAGGCGTAGGTCAGGAAACTGTCAGTCAGGTACTTTAAAAACAGAAGACGAATGAGATCTGGACGAAGCTTTTTAGGCTTAAAGGGAAACAAACATTCATGATTTCAAACTTCACGTCTGTATGATGGCTGTTATTTACCTCTCATGTCACCCTGTTGCCAGTGTTCATAAGTACCGATGTTCAGAACAAGTTTGGAGAAAGGAAACTGAAAGGAGGTGCTCGTAAAGAAACAGCACAGCGTGTGCTCTATAGCAGAGAGCTCTGAGGGACTCTTTAGTTTTTTCAGATTCTGTTGTAAACAACAGGGCAGATGGATCTCTGAAGAGTGTGAGAACAGCACTCGAAGCCACCTACATAGACGAATCGAAAAGAACACGACGTGCTAATGGAGACGTAGGTGGTTATTTGTATGGACGAGAAAATATACAAGACATGAAAGGAAAAAAAAAAACAAAAACTGAAGATCTGACGGTAGCGATACAAAACGGATTACACTGATGAAGCATATGCAGGACTTCTATAGGAAATAGTGTCTTATGGTGACTTATAACCTCATAAATATTTTTAAAAATGATGCCGTAATTACAAGATCCTGTTATTAAAAGATCCTGTAGTTGTAAACATATGTGCTTCGTTTAAATTGCATTGCCTGAGAACTGCGTGGGTTCGAGTTCACTTACAGAGTGTTGACATACCAATGAAGACACCTCAGTATTACGAAGCAACTCTAATGACCGTGCAAAATGAATACAACACCGTTAGGACGTGTTTTCCTGTAAGAGATAGCGTTCTAGTGGTTCTAATGTGTAATCAACTGAAGAAAACACATGATTTTTTTTTGCTAACAGAAGTGTTTCCACCACTACGACGTGTACAGCGTTCAGAATTCATCAAAGCACAATCATGCGTGTTTCCCTTTAATGCTTTCCAAGGCTTACGTTATCACTTCTGCAGCACTCAGCCTCTGTTATCGTTTCCAGTCGTGTGCAGTAAAAGCTGCAGATTGCAAATGGAATTCCAATAAAACGCTGCAGTAGAGCTGCAGCGGTTTCAGGCTGTGACTGCGCTGCCGCGGCCATGTTGTCCAGCGAGGCAGTTTTCATCTCAGGTTCGATTACAGTCGTGATGAGACGTTGTGCAGACCTCATTTAGGCCTCCTGAGGTTCAGTGACAGGTCTGTGATTACGCTGTGACCTCTTCGTCAGGACTTAGCTTCAGGTTGTTTTTTTGGATGACACTTTTCACATCTGTGGGTGTGAAAAGGCCGATAGGTTGGTGCATGCCCTGTGTGTGACCGCTAACTTTCTCCGTCCCTTTGCATGATGTGTGTGGTGTGTGCCCTAACCCCTGAGCAGGACAGCACTGATGCATTTGGAGACAGCTGGAGAGGGCCCTACCAACCAGGTACTGCAAATTCACAAGTCCATTGCCAGTGCTAAGTCCATTGCTATTTATTTCTTTTGTTTTGCTGTTATGTTGCTGCTGGGTCAGTTAATTGATGTCGTACTTCTGTTTTTACTTGTTCATGTATTTATCGTAAATACATATAACTATTAAAGACGATCAGCGCAGCACGTATTTCAGTAGGAAAACTTGTGGTTTGTTTCTGAAGCTAGAGATTCACGCTCGTCTCAGTCGTTTAATTCCCAGTTATATCTTCTCTTGCAATAGACACTGCAGATGGACAAACTACCTCACCACAGCCCCCACCATTTACATTACCCAGATCCTTAGACCAAATGTCCTCACCCGCCTCCCCCTCCCAAAGCCCTTCCTCCGGTCAGACCCTGGATCGCTCTCAGTCTGCTCCGGCCGCCATGGAGCAGGCCTCAGCGCTCGGGCAGTGTCAGGCCCGAGCCGGCTTCCGGGAGCTTCCTCAGCCTTCATCCCCAGCAGAGGATGCAGCTTCTACACCTCATCCTGCCCACCCTCACCCTCTGCCTCTCCATAGCAACTCAGAAGTGCCCCCTTTACCCAGTCCCTCAACAGATGTCCTCCGTACATGTACCCCTCCTGCAGACATGACCACGGTGTCCCAGGACCCGGGGGGTGAGGTTCAACCTGGAGACGCAAAGGGGGAATCAGATGAGGAGGCGAACCCCTCCATGTGCTCCTTTCCAGAGCAACTGTCCCCCATCCAACCCATGGAGCAGGAGGCGACTGAGTCCGATGCAGCCGACACCACAGAAGCCTGTCCCAGCGCTCCCAGCCAACCCGACTCGGTTGAGATGGAGTCTCCCACCGCTTCCCACGGCGTGGTGTCCTCTGAGAGGGACCAGCCTGACGGAGAGCGCTGCTCCAGCTCCGACAGCATCCCCTCGCTGGCGGCTGCTCTGATGGAGCTCCATGAACTGCTGGTGTCAAACAACCACGCTCAGTCCCAGAACCGCAGCTCCTCCTGCTCCCCGTCACACCCGTTCAGGCAGGACGCCGACAGAGCGTCCCCCGAGCCATGCACCCCGACGTCCGACAACACCCAGCCTACCCCCTCTACTGCCATTACAGCCGGTGCAGAACCAAGCGATGCCAAAGCCAACTATGCTGCTGCTGTGTCTGATGAGGAACCATCCAAGTGTCTTGTGCCCGACCTCTCTGGCCAGGATGACCATCTGGGCGTAGATGCAGCAGAGACTGTGGAGGGACGAGGACCACCGCAGTGTCCGGACGGCTCCGGGGAGAGGAGGGCGGATAGATGTGGGCAAGAGGAGGCCTGCAACGTCAGCAGCATTTGTCAGCCTGAGCCAGAGGTTCCTCCTGATCCTGCAGGAGACCTCGAGTTCAGGGAGCCTCCCGAGGGGCAGCACGGGAGAGGGGTCGCAGACGGACAAGCCTCTGGCACCAACACCCCGGACACTCTGGGCCTCCAGACTGAGCACACTTTCCTCAGCCCTCTGTCAATGGCAGTGGGCTCGCCGGAGGAAGTTTCCAGCACCTCCTCTGTTCCTCCTCTCGCTCAGGCCCCCCAGCCTTCATCTCCAGCCCATCCTCTCCCGTCTCCAGCTCCCTTTATAGAACAGTTTCCAGCTGAGCACATCCAGAGAATCCAGGCAGCGGGCTTTTCTGCCAGGGAGGCTGCGGAGGCGCTGGAACAAGCCCATGGGGTTGTGGAGCTAGCTCTGCTGGCACTTCTAGCCCGCAGTATCACTGTGCCCACCTAGCCTCATAACCAATCATATGAGCCCCCAGCCTCCCAACTCAGCATCTGTCTTATTTATACCTTGTTACTGATCCAGATGTCTCAGTCCCTTTTTAGCAGGGAGCACGTAAAAGCCACAGGGAACCGCTGTCTCTCGGTTACAGAATATTCAAGAACAAACAGGACGACTGGTAAAACTTTTCTGGATATTAAAGATACGTGAGGTGTGTTTGCATGCAGATATTTTGGGTGCCCACCCGTTTCATTGGTTTTTAGAAAATTTGGTATCATAGATTGATTTTTTTATTTTATTCTTTTTTTCTTGTTTTTGTCATCCAACGTTGACATATTAATGTATGATTGGACATTTAAACGCTATAATTTCCCCTTTGATAAAACTATTGTTGTGTACAAGTTTAATTTGTAAGTCCAAAACAATCTGGGAGTACAGCTGCTACTCCGACCAGAACTTCTGATGAACTCATTCAGCACAAATGTGAACAGTCATTTAGATTTTTTTTAAAAAATTGTCCCTTCAATTTTGAAACCAGAGCCCAACGATGGATCAGCAGTATTGTGAGAACTCCTGCAGTCGATGGGGGGGTCGATCGTTTCTGATCAAGTTTACAAATTTCCACAGATGAGTGGAAACCCCTGATTTTCATTATCACTCGAGAATATCAAGTGTGTCTGTTGAAGTATGATCATAGACGGCATTTCCTTTGATTCAGTAATACAGAAGGTATCTCGTACTGTACGCGTCACTCTTCACACTTTGAAAGCTTTGCCATGTGTAGATTACAAACCTGTTTGTAGCTCCTGTTCCTTTATTTTGTGTCAAATCATCATAGTGTGTGTTCAGACTGAAGAACATCCATTTTCGTTTTGTAATCTGTTAGAATGCGGCTGTCAAATGTTTTGTCATATATCATGGATTTTAATGGCTTTATTCGAGTCATATACCAACAATGTTCAGGCAGAATGAATTATTTACTTTATGGAATTTTAAATTGCAAATAAAATGAAACTAGGATTTGTACAAACGTGTGAGTCGGACGTCGTTTTTCGAGCTTAAATACCGTGAAGTTCTTCATCCTGATGTCATGTTTCAGACAACCGAGTGCTGAAAAGATCAGTTCATGATGAGTATGGTGGTTTGTTGAAGACATAATTCAGCATTTGAGGGAGCCTGTGGGAGGAAACACACACCTGCTTCTAGTTTTTGTGATTGCTGCAGCTAACTACTTAGTCTGAGTGAGGCAGATGAAGGACGCACCCACAGCTGAAATAAATCTCTGGAAGCCTTTTGTGAGAAAACAAAAGCATCATGGCTGAGTTTGATCTGAGCAGCAGCATCACTGATTTACTTTCCTACTTTGGAGATCTTGTCACTAACATGAAATCACAAACCGTGAAGACAGAGGAGCAGATTCCTTCAGGGCCGGATGAGGACGCTACGCGACACGCCGGAGGCCTCGACCAGAGCAGCGCCTCCCTGAAGCCGCCTGAGGAGAACAGGTGAAGGACTACAGCAGCTACTTTAGAACCAGGTTTGTGTGTGATTGTGCTGATTCGGTGTCCTTGTCGTGTCCCAGCCCTGCCGTAGACATGTCCTCAGCTCTCAGGTCAGTGGCGCTGATGCGTGCATGGGATTTGAAAGTCATTAATTCACCTGTGCCCAAACTGTTCTCCACTCCTGGACTCCAAGAACACAGCTCAGCAGTGGATGAGCAGGTTGAGAGTAATGAAGGGTAAGATGGGTTTTAATCTTTATATCCTCGCAAAGAATTTACAAGGTTCACTTAATGTCACCTTCTGTAAAATCCAGTGATGCAGCTGAGGAGGAAGCGCCGAGTGTGTCCTTCCAGTCCAAGTACATTCATATTAGTAAGTTTGTCTCTTGTGTTACTGACTTTTACTGCGATGTGTATCTGCTCGCCAACGGTTGTCTGTTCGCTCCTCAGTCCCGCTGTATCAGGACTACTGTCTGCAGGCAGTTAAAGATGATTTGCACAGACTCAAAGAGAGTTTTGTGTCTGAGCTGATAACTCCCGAGTACCTGCAGAGTCTACACTCTCGTCTGAGCCCTCGCTCCAACTCGGACTCTACATCCCTCCACCCGAGGCCTCCAGATGCGTCTCCATCCCCGCCTTCGTCTCGGCCGATCAGGGTGACTCCCTGCACCCTCTGGCAGGACCTGGAGGAGGTGAAGGCGTCTGGTCTGCTCAGCAGCTTGACGACTAGAGAGATTCGCCTTCAGGAGGTGTGTTCAAAGACCTGTGTTTTATGATTTGCACTTTCAGAGGTGTTAATATATGTATTGCATTCAGTCATTAAATCAAATGGGACACACAGGTTCATGACCCTGTGGCAGAAAAACGATGAGTTTTTGTTCAGCTGTTGCTCAGCTGATGCGTTTATGGTGCTAAAGTGAACTGGTATCAGCCATTTTCAGCTTCTCACCATCTGTACTTTTCCCTTTAGACGCTAAAGTCTGAATGCTGAATTTGTAGAGATGAGCTCGTTCACCTTCATCTCAAATTACAGTTTTTCTTGACTTTATTTGCATTAACAGCAAATCCCATGAAAAAAGCTCCGTCACTTTGTCCTGCTGCAGCCATCCATGTACGGAATTACATTTGTGCCACAATCCAGAGCGCGCAATGGGAAATTTTGAGTGCAGAAAAAAAAAATCTTGAGCGAATAAAAGCTTATTGTAAGCAAACAAAAATCTATTCTGCGCTCAGAAATATTACTGCTGTATTTGCAACTATCAACACACGATCACGCCGTCTTTCACTCGGTTTTGTCATTTACGCTCTCACAGATCTCCATTCTGGGCGCTCAACTACACATTCACGCTCAACTCTGCCTGCACGTTCGTTCGACTCAGCACAGCGTTACGAATGTGCCACAAAACCACATTATTGTTATTATATATAAAAAAGACTATTTTGGTCAGCGAGTTAAAGCACCGTCATGTCGTTAAATCCACTTTTCTGAATTTAAAATGATAGGTAACGTTTTTCCCTTCATCCTTGTTCATCCCGGCAGTAATAGTTTTGAGCACAGAATAGATTTTTATTTGCTCTGCGCGCTCGGGGTTGTAGCACAAATATAATTCCATATCCAGCCAACTGATTCAGAGTGTATAAAAAATATGCAGTCTTTTTTCTTTTCTTTTTATTTATTTATTTAAAAAGCATCCTTTTTGCTTGTGCACGGAGCTCTACATCAGGCTGTGACTACACAGGGGATAGTTGTCAGTAGGAGCTTTTGGTTATTCGTGGGATTTGCAGGCAGGACTCTTTAAAGTAAAGAGCTTGTGTTCTCGTTTACTTCTTTTGAAGACCATGTTCGAGCTGATCGGCTCTGAAGCTTCCTATCTGAGGAGCCTCGGCGTGGCTGTCAGTCACTTCTACACATCAGAGGCGCTGAAGCAGACTCTGTCTACGATGCAGCATCACATTTTGTTCTCCAACATTCGCCACGTGACGGCAGCCAGTCAGCAGTGAGCGCTCCAGACGCAGGGCCTTGTTTGTATTTTTAAACCACTCGTACTGATGTGTATATTTAGTTGAACTCTTTTCAGGTTCCTCGTGGATCTGGAAGCTCGGCTGGGAGAGAACGTGTTGATCTCTCAGGTTGGAGACGTCGTTCTGCAGCACTGCCGGCGTTTCCACAGCCTCTATGTGCCGTACGTGACCAACATGATGTACCAGGAGGCCCTCGTCAACCAGCAGCTGTACGTCGGCTCTGGACCTGATCACGCTCAGTCGCTGCTAGTTTGTCATCAGTCACATTCAGTCACGTCTCTTCTCCTTTTTCAGGCAGGAAAACAGAAACTTTCTGTGTTCACTGAAGAAGCTGGAGAGTGACCCAGTGTGTCAGAGACAGAGCCTCAAGTCGTTCCTGGTCCTCCCCTTCCAGAGAATCACTCGTATTAAACTGTTACTGGAGGTGTGATTTGAATCCTATACATCCAAGTGTATGTTTAAGGTCCATCAGCTGAGGTTTCTGTTGGGTTTTTTTTTCATTCCAGACCATCCTGAGACTGACTGAGCCGGGTTCCGACTCCATTTCAAATCTCGAAAAAGCGATAGACGCCGTTCACGAGGTACCGAGTTCAGACCTGAACATTAATGTTGAGACAGAAGCAAAGGAGTCACTTGAGATTTTCTGTTTTCTCCGTTACTTTTCAAAAACTAATTGTTTTTTATTTCTCTACTTCTTTCTACGACTACTCCAGAATAATGATTGATCATGTGATTGGATAAATTATGGTTTAAATGAGCAGTTTCACTTTTTTTGTTGTTATCCAGAACATTCAATTAGAAATCTAATAATGGATCTACATTTAAGTTTCTACGTCTTGTCTGTTATTTGAGTAGGTTTACATCAGTCCAGTGAGAACTGTGAGTTTGGGGGATCAAAAGTGGACAGATGCTCATAAAGTCAAACATAAATATATTCAGGGAACTCTTTCACAGTAGATGACTTCCTAAAGCCTTAAATGCGTAGATGACAGCAACTGCTTTTTATATTTCCTGTTCTTGCTCTCTTGCTTGATGTTGGGGCTCTTTGCCTTCGAGCAGCTCAGTCTGGAGTCAGCTGAATATTCCAGCTGTTGTCTGCTTGTCTACAAGACTTGTTCTCCTCAGTCGACATACTTGTTTGCTTCGTCCTTGTTTTTCTGTGCAATCCTGCTTTCTCGATGCTGTTTGTTTTTGGCCATCCATCTACCTTTGATATCTGACAGTTTTGCTTCTTATCATCTTCACTTGTGTGCTCCTCTCTCTGCTCCTCATATTGTTCGATACCTAAACCTCAGACTTTATGTCTTAGGAGCTAAATCACAGTTTTTTATTATTATTTTTTTTTTTATATGAACATAAACTTTGTCAAGTTAAAGCTGAGACTTTGCATTTAATGTGCGAATTTGAACATGCTAAAGCTTGAAGAACAAACAATGGGACAGTGTTAATGCCTGGACAGTTCTGTATATAAGGCCCAGTGCTCATGTCTCTGGACAGGTTGGTTATTATCACGTTATTTCGTTTATTCTGAAACGAGACATTCTGACTAACCGGGATATCTTCATGGAAGATTTCTCTACTCACTTGAATACAGAGTTTTAACTTGTAATGGAGCTTTTCTGCGGTTCAGAGCACTTCTTCTTCTTCCTCTGACCAGATCGTGACAGAATGCGACGAGGGCGTCCGAAAAATGAAACGGATTGAGGAGCTGGTCTGCCTGGAGATGCTGCTGGATTTTGGTAAAGTTAAGGTGCTGACTTTTTTCTCCTCACTGTAACATCTCTCACAGACTGCTTGATTTTCTTATTTAACCTGCATGCAGAACAGAAATTCATTCCTGCCAACAGCCATCACCTTGAAGAACAAGTCTGACTGACTGATTATTATTATTGTTGTATAAATGTTATATTGATTTTTTTTTTTAAAGTGAGCTTTTTACAACATTGAATTTCCCTTCTGGGATAAATAAAGTATTTTTCATTTCATTCATTTTTCATGTAGCCACGATTCTCACTGTGCTTCCTCCTCCCTGCAGGCGGTTCCTCTGGTCATAAGCCGGCGTTTTCTGGTTCACCAAGGACCCATGAAGCAGCTGGATATGGAGAGCTCTTACAACTCCAGGATGTCGTTCGTCAGCATTTACCTGCACCTCTTCAGTGACCTCTTGATCATCTCTTTGACAAAGTAGGACGCTGTCATTCTTTAAAAATGCATCAAAAGCAATGCAAATGTCTCCAGCATCTCTAATTCTTTTACTTCTGCAGTCTGACCAGCTGCAAGACAATACATCTGTATTTAGAGTGAAGCCAGCTGACGTGTGAGATCCACGGTCAACTCGTCTGTTTTCTGTCTGTGCGTCGTGTTTAGGGACCAGCGGTTCATCGTGGTGGATCACGCCGAGTTCCCCAAACACGTGACCGTTGAGCATCTGAAGACCGAAGTCCTCGCTCTGCCCCCAGAGTCCTTTCTGCTCCATCTGGCTCAGAGTCAGACGGGACATCCGACCGCCATGATACTTGTTGCACACACGAGGTGAGAGCGGACATCATGTGTTCGCTCCTCCTGGCTGAAGCCTCCGGGCTGCCAGTCATGCATCTGATTCCTGTGTTTTGTTTCTGTGTTGCAGGTCGGATAAAGAGACGTGGATGAAGGCGCTGTCGTCCAGATCAGTGCTCGACTGACTTTAAAGATCCAGCTTGGCTCCTTTTAACGTCCACATCTTCACATGTGGGACACTCTGATGTTAAGCTGCTGGAGGCTGTGTTCACTTCTTTATTTTAAAAAAACATTCTTAGAGCGACACAGTATTTCAACGTGCACCAACACACAGCGGCTGTATATAAAGGATATCTGTTTTTATTAATGAAAATAATTTACATTTATTATTGTAATAAAACACTGAATTCTTTTAAGCAAAGTGTCCTTCATGTGCTCCTTCATTTCTAATCTGCCTAAATGAGTCTCAACAGACTAAAAACTAACGAGGCAACTTGTTCTTTTTGCTGTGGAACATTTGAAAAAAGACTTGATGCCACCTCTAAGCACAGACATGTCTGAGTGTTGCTCCTAAATGGTAGAAAAAGGCACCTGTTGGGTTCAGTCATTATGTGTTCACATACAGACTCAGTGTCACAAAAGCACAAACTTTTCTTTTCGAGGATATAAATACACAAGATTTCTAACAGTTATAATTAAAGGATCCTAATGTTGACCAGAGGCCCTACCAGGAATGCATGTTAATATAAATACAATCAACTTAATGTGAGAGAACTTCAGACATTTCAGAATAAAGCTCAATCTCATGAAGTTTGGGGTTTCCCTGTTAGTGCAGTCGAACCATCTGGACCTCCTCCAGCAGCAGTGACCTCCAGTCCACCTTCTTGTGTTAAAGCACAGTCACCGTCTCCTGCTGGGAGCGCTGGCCGGCTGGTCCGGCTGTAACGCAGTCTTGATGCCACAGGTTCTCTGACAGACAGTTGAGGAGGGGGGCGACGTCGCCGAGCCCGTCGCTGACCTCCCCTCCGGTACGCAGCACCGGCAGGCTCCACGTCTCCTGGAAGTCCCTCACGTCTCTCTGTGACACATCGCAGTGCATGAAAAGGTCGAATCTGAAGGAAGCATTAAGGACAAATGTTGATCTCTGGAGTGATCTGCTGCCATCAGGCAAACGTTTCCGGAGCGTTAAAGGAAGAACCTCCAGCTTCATGCCACCAGCTGTCAGAACGCTGAACTGCTGATCCAGAGATGCAAACACTTGTTTATTTAAATTGCTTTAAGTTATTGGATCCTGAAGAAACGCTCTCTCATCCTGCCTGTACTGCTGTGGATGTACAGCAACATGACAATAAACTGGATTTGATTTTGATTTTGATTTGATTTGATAAAGCCAAAAGAATATGAAGGAAGTGATGAGCACGTTTAATGCTTCTTCTTTCACTGAAAACCTAAAAGCTGACTGTTCTTCCTCTCGTCTTATGGAACCATACAGGACTAAGATACAAAATCACTGCAGACCAATACGTGGAGCGTGTCGCATGTAAACAGGAGCAGTTGTGTAACAGAGATTGTTCTTAAAATGACTCAGAAACACAAAAGGATACTTGGTGCCAACCACCAGTTTCACAACACGACCCACAGATGACTCAGTCCATTTAGCAATTTGATTTGACAGATCATCGAAGGATGTGCGGTCAGTGAAGGAGAACAGGAAGAGGACGGCGTCCACCTGCTCCTTACAGGACTGGAACACAGAGGGAAGAGTGACTGGACACAGTGATGCTGCTACAGGATGTGCTTTTATAAATAAATATGAGTGTAGTCCTTTCACTTTCGTTCTTAACTCAGCGTGCTGCGAGAATACTGTCTACTTTCTATTTTACACATACTGGAAGCAAGTGGTCAAATCTGCGTAGGGCGTTCTCCCCACAGTCCCACAGCTGCAGCCGGAAGAACAGAACTCTGCCACTTTCTCTCAGCTTCACCGGCCAATACACCACCGTCGTCTCAATGCCTGGAACAGCAAAAGATGAATGAGCCTGACCTGACTGACCTTTAAACTGAAGGCAAGGCGAGGCAGGTTTATTTGTGTCGCACAATTCATACCCGAGGTAATTCAAAGTGCTTCACACAAAAGTATATGAAGACATAAAATCAGTCCACAGAACATAAACACAATTATTAATAAATTACATTAAAAGCAAAGAGGCAGATAAAATCAATCCATAAAAACATAAATATAATCAGTAATTAGAAGAGTACAGATAGAATAGTTTCACAGCTTTTAATTGCATAAACCATTTTAAACGGAGCGGCCTCGATGATTTTTTCAGAAGACGATCAGTCACCTGTGGTCTCGTGGTGCATGTTGGGAATATTCAGGCCTGCAAGACGAGCAGCGAGAGCAGTTTTTCCGACTCCGCTCTTCCCAGAGATAAAGATCTTATAATGAACCGTGTCCACGGCTACGTGCGGGGGCATCACCGGAGACTCCAGGAGGCCTGTAGAACCAGTTTAAGAAATATTCTGGTTACTGCTGGCCTGAATGTGCTGCCATCGTCTTTCACCACAACAGAACAGAGGAGTTGGGTTTCCTGCTCGGAGCTGCAGGCTGAAATCAAAACTTTTTTCACAGTTAGAAATTAGTCAGTTAATATTTATTGTGTTTTATTGCTTCTGTAATCTGATAGTTATTGTATTTGATTTGTAAATTGTCCTTTTGTGTCATTAAAAGGCGCCTATACTCAAATAAAATGTGTTATTATTGATAAGTTTTACTTTTATCTAAAAAAAATAAGCTGACACATTGTCGCTTTTTTGTTTTTATTCAGATTGTATGAAGCTCACCTTTAGGTTTTATTACATTAACTGACAGTTTCACAAGACAGTCTGGGTTTAAAAATGAGTCATTACTGCACAAATATTTACCTGTCAGGTGCATTTCATGGACACCTTTTGTCATAATGAATTACTGGGGAATGCACATTGATCTGTCAGTCACTTTTCCTGACAGATTTCTATAAAGACCATAAACTAAGTCTGTGAGGGGACACAAGCACGGTTTGTTTGTTTTATTTTTCAGATCCACTGATTAAACCAACCGGAAACCAGAACTATTTGCATGTGATGCTTCTGAAAACGGCCAAACTAAAGCAGCGCAACTAAAAACTCGCCATTACCAAAGTTCTTGCGTCTCTTCTTGTGCAGGACTTTGCTGAAGTACTCTTTGCTGTCTTTGCATCGATGCCAGTCCGACACTACGACCGATCCCGGAGGAGGAACCTGAGCCATGTCGGCGGTGAAGCTAGCTAGCTCGCTAGCATCGCCCCGAGCCGACATTTATCCGAACGGGACCGACAGTCGGTTCTTTGTCGAAGCAGGAAACAGATTTAAACGTCTTTTAGGACCAAAGTTAACCATAAAGTGCGTTAACGAGGAAGCTGTAGTCGCGCAGCGTGAATGGAAAAACTTCCGTAAACTAAAACGTCCCTTGACAACCGCTGACGTCACTTCCGTCTGTTCCGTCCGGTGTTGCCTTTAGGTTCTGCACAACAGTCGTAATTTATGGATTTCACTCCATTTACTTGTTTTGAACCTACATTTAACAGAGCAATTCTTTTTTTTTTTTATATATACAATTACAAACACAAACAGAAATAACCAAACCCCCTAAAGAAAAAGAAATAAAAAGAGAAAAAGAAAAATGATTCACAACAAAAATGCACAAACACAGTATTGCAGCCATAATATCCAGGGTTTACCAGCGAGTGTTGTTTAAACTTATTTATTAGTTTGGAGGGATTTAGAGATTTAAAAGCGCACGGTTTGTTCTGACAGCTGTCTTGTTGTTGATATATAACTTATCTCATTTTATACTTAAATCTCTTCTATTTTTATTTATTTTTTGTGCTCTTTTTTTTGTACTTTATTCTATATGGCACTGAAGGAGCTGCTCTTAATCTCATTGTACATGTGTATAGTGACAATAAAGGCATTCTATTCTATTCTATTCTATTCTATTCTATTCTATTCTATTGTTATTACAGTCTTTAATTGTGGTGGCGGATCGCTGCAGTTATCAGAGCAACGCTGTTCAATTTAGAGGTGAAGTGTTTTACGCCCTGCTGAAAAAAAATAAAGAATAAAAACAACAACATCAAAAAAAAAAAAACCATGGCCCAGCTAAAGATGGTTACTGGTTTTAACTGGACCTGAAGGAGAAAATACATTTTCCAAAGCATTTCTGAAGCAACAACTGAGCTATCAATCGACCAGAGCTACTAAATATGACAGTGATGGGAATTTTAGATAGTCTGCCCCTAAAATGTTCAGTCATTCACACACAGTGACACACTGATGGAAGCACTGAGGTTAAAAAGTGGCCTTTAATAAAACAAATATTTACAAGCTTGTGTTTTTCCTGTTTGTTGCTGTTTGTCCTGAAATGACAAATCACAGTAACAGCAGTGGCCTGCTACAGATGATTACACAGTTTTTTTGGAGTATTGGACCGGCACTGCTCATGTTTCCCACAGTCCTTGAATGTTGCATTCTATCGTGCACCGCAAGAGGTCGCTAAACGCCATCGTTTCAAGGGTTCAAGACCTTATGTGACACCTGGAGAAATACAACAAAGCCATGAAGACGCTTGACATGAACAGATGTTGGACATGTTTTAATGTAAATGTCACATACAGACATGTTAGGCTCTAAAACACCCGGTGAGCTCTGACGGTCAGGACGCCGCTGCTCTCCAACGACATGCCCACTGATGTGGGATCCACGTCTGATGGCAGTTTGCACCGGTGGGAAAATGTGTTGGTGACCATGCCATCCTTCCCCAGCTGGATGGAAAAAAAAACAAAAATAACAAGAAATAAAGAAGGCAGAAATAAATTCTTTCTCAACACTGAAAGCAGTGAGGGTAGCAAATCTAAAGCAAATGTCAGAATTCAAGACCTCTGAAGTATGAGATGTTTATAAAATCTTTAAATTCCCAAAGTTCTTTATGCTCCAGTTCTGTTTTTTGCTTATTTTTTAACTTTAGGTCTCCTTTGTCTCACAATAAAATGATTTCTTTAATCCATAAGACCCCACCTGCTTTCCAACTTTCATTTTTTCATTTCGTTTCTGTCACTGCGACCAAACTGATGATGATAGATGGCTCACCTTTTCTGCACGGACCTCTATCAGGTTGTTGGAGGACGTGACGATAACATCCTCTGGAGAAAATTCACTCACATCAACGGTAAACTGGAAGACGTCTCCCAACACTTGGATCTTCCCCGTAGGCCATGAATGACCTGAAACATCATTTACAGATTGTAAAGCTTCATGAATCACAGGTTTCTAAACACTTCCTAGTAGGTTTATCTGCAGGGAGAAGTAGAATCAGCACATCTACGTCAGTCTCTGCTCAGCTGACCTGTGAATTTGTGATCTCTTAGTGACCCTGCATCTTCAGAGAACTGACTTCGACCTTCCTCCATACAGGCTGAAGAACTGGTTTGTGTTGCTGATTGTTTCTGCTGCAGCACAATCCAACAGAGGTCCTTCTAATCCAGTAAATTCTCCTTTGACTGTCTTAAAGCTGTCACCATATCTGAGTCTTTTATAGGCCACTGTGTGCCACTGGGTGTGGATGTGGTTTGGACCCTGAATGATTCAGCTCAACTGGAACGTGACACGGATTGTAGATATTTAATGTGTCAGAGCTGATAATGAACTGCTGTCAAGGGGGCTGACATTGTTGGCCGCACCCTGACTGGAAGCATTTCAGTCTTTGTGTTTGTGAGAAACTAAGATGGAACATAATAACCAGACGTCACGTTGTGTAGGCTGTCGATTTAAAATTTAAGTCAAAAATAAAAACCTGTTGGCCTTTGCCTGGATGCTCGTGGAGGATTCGTGACAAAAATAACACGGGAGCCATAAATGCCCGGCCATGCAGAGGAGGGGAAGTTTAACTTGGCGGAGTGGCAGTGGTGTGATGGAGCGCAGTAGTGTGTAGGTGTGACATTCTGCTCCACCTTGGAAAAGTCACAGAGGCTCATCAACTCCAACCGGATGACGGCCATCGCCAAACAAGCCCTGTGAGGCTGCACTGGTGACTGCACTGCCAGCTGCTTCCTTATGGCAGAAATAATGTCATGTCATTCTGTATCATGTCCAGCGCTGGAGGAGCAAAGATGCTAAAGGAGAGCAGTGACACTTTTGTTAATTCTGAACATTGTGTATAAAGTTTTTTCAATGTATTGCCTGTTATTTGTAAAGTAAGTTCCTCTCTGGTCACTCAAGCCTCTAAAAACTCATCTGTGTGCATCAAGATTACATATTTAAATGTGTGTTTTTTTCCAATTTCCAATGAAAATATGAATGCCAACAGTTCTGAAACAAGCCTCTCTCCCTGCCAGCATTCTCAGGACTTTCTACAGAGGTGTGGTGGAGAGCAACATGGTGCTCCAGCTGCAGTCTGTCAGACAGAAAGCCCTGCAGAGGATAGTGAGAGGAGCTAAGACGGTCATCAGAGTTTCCCTCACCTCTGTCCAAGAACTCCAGAGCCGCTGCAGGAGCAGGAACCTGAACATCTTCAGGGACTCCACACACCCTCTCCATAAACTGTTTGAACTCCTGCCATCAGGTTTCTGGAGCGTTAAAGGAAGAACCTCCAGAAGCTTCATTCCTCCAGCTGTCAGAACGCTGAACTGCTGATCCAGACATGCAAAGCCTTGTTTGCTTAAATTACTTTAAGTTCTTGGATCCTGAAGAAACGCTCTCTCCTCTTGCTTGTACTGCTGTGGATGTACAGCAACATGACAATAAACTGGATTTGATTTGAAATAATCTTTTTCTGCTTTACAATGTCATAGATGTATCTCAACACTATTCCTTCCTCTAAACTGTGCAGGTCTTTGAAGTTCCTGTTTCTGTCTCCATCCACCCACTCCCTGCAGCTCACCTACAACTCTGCTCAGACACCAAACAACTATTACTACACCACACAAAGACAACTCGTAATATCAGAGTAATTGAGTCATGCAAAGTGAAAACCACTTCTGAAGAATATGCAAAGCCGCACCCTGCAAGCCGACAGGATGGGTTACTAACGTTCATTAAGTATAAAACCCCAGAGGTCTCAATCTTTTGATGCCATCTTTTGTACACTTAAAGGTGCAAATGCTCAGGATTAGTGTCGACTGCTTACTTTGCTCATAATGTGTCTCTGGGGATTACAGAAACACCACATGGACACGCCAACAATGTAAAACACTTGATTTTCACCTGAGGGGGTCTTTAAATGCCGTTCGTGTTTTCATGACATGTTAATATTTGCTAATAATCAAAGAGCAGAGCCGAGTTCACGGCCGTCGGTGAAAAAGTCAGACGACAATCAAGAGACGTGTTACTCGGAACCACAAATGTCAAACTACCCGTGGTGCTAAAAGTAAAGTGAAGGATCACCAAAACTGCCAGGATTTATTGCCACGAGTGTCTGTATTAATGTTCAAAGCAATCCGTCCAGCTGGTTGTCGAGATATTTCAGCCTGGACCAAAGCAGACGGACCCATTTATTGCCGCCGCCGGCTTTGGCGTGACTCTAAAAGCACGACTCTAAAAACAAACACATGTCGACTGTCGCCGAGTGCACGAGAGCGATGCGGTCACAAGGCATTTTATTTAAACACAAAAATACAGCGCCTGGCAAACATGCGCCAGGTTTCTTTTTTTTCTCATGTAACAAATGACATAAATATAAAATAAAAAATAAATATTAAATAAAAAAAAGAAAAGGACAGTTGTAAGACATGATGTAAACAAACAGGTGAAGAAAATGCACGATGCGATCCAGAGACTGACTACAAAACATAAGAATGTGTGATTCTTCGCCCTGAGTGGAATAACGATTCCAAAATTTTACAGAAAGTCTCATCGATCAAAACAGATTTAAGGAACCAGAAGCTCTGGCAGGATTTGTTCTTTTTTTTTTTTTTTAAAAAGTGAGTGCTTGGAAGAAGAAGTCGCCCTTAATCACAAAGAGCCTCGAACATTTCAGTCATACAGTAAATACAAGGCCAAGCACGCTCACATTTTATTCTCTACATCACTTGTATATGTTCAACATATTAAACCCTTTTTTTTATATAAAGATAAATTATTTCTCCTCTGTTATAAAGTACATAAATGTTTTCAGTCCTTTCTGAGTGACTTGAAGGGTCCTCTTCAGTCGTGCCACACTGGGCCAAGGGGAAAAATAAAAACCCGGCAGTGTGGCTCAGTTTCACGCCCCACGTCAGTCCTTGTCGTCCGTGAGTGAAATGGCATGGTCGGTCAGTGCACTTTGATTTGCTGGAATGCTTAGATCACACTGCAAACACGCTGAGGGAGCTGGTCTCGTCTTTCAGGCCCAGGATGCTGTACACTATCCTCTTCATGTGACCGGGCAGCCGCACTCCGATGTTCCTGATGTCCCTGAAGAAAAAGATAAACGACACCATTTCAGTATGCTACACCCAACACGGACTGCTAGAGCAGGGGTTCCCAGCTAGTGGCTAATGTTGTTTTATATCACAAATCCACACGCTGAGGAGAGGAAGGCACAAACAGTTGGAACTGATGGTCTGAATAGTTCAAGGAGTCGGCTGAAAGTTGTGAATAAATGATTAAAATAGCTAAATGTAACAGACAAATGGTTGAAATAGCTGTCTAATAATAGACACTGGCTTAAATAGATTGCTATGAGGAGAAATGGTTGATCAATCTCATGATCGATCTAAAAACTGCCCGTTCAATAGACTGAAAACATTATTGTTTTCTATCATTAATGGAATTTCAGCACACAGATGGCGCCAGCGAAGGGCCACGCCGACATGGCAGTGGGGTATGAGGTTGGGAACCACGGCTGCTGAAGTTGAGAATGAGAGGAATGACAGGGGCAGAGGCGGAGTGGGGTATTCCTGCATTCACAAACTGGATAACAAATGTTCAGGCTGGGAGCTCAATACTTTCCCTGTGCGACCAGAAAGCGTGGCTTAGCGCCAGATAAATCAGTGCAGCATTGCAGAGCTGCACTTGTGCCATGTGTGCACTTACTCATGCCTCAAAGCGAGCACCTGCTCCATGGTCGTTACCCCGGCGCGAGCGAAGCTCTCGTTGTACTGGCCCATCTTGATGGAGTCCAGCCACTCGGGCACCGACCTGAACATGGTGCCGTCACAGCCGCTGGTGCTGGGCAGTCGGATGGACACGCTGTGGGGAGCAGCGGGGGTTTGGGTTACTCATCAGTTACAGCTGCATGTGGTTATGTTTAAATGGGAGTGTTTAATGTGAACTTATTTCAGTTTGGGTAGCTGCTAATTACTCATGCCAACTTTTTAGCACACAAGGTTTATAAAGGTAAAGTTAGGAAATTTAAAAAATGAATTTACAGTGCATCTGAAGGGTTTAGTCTCTTGCACAGTGTATAGACAATCATTAGCTGTTTTATGAACATGCAAAACTACGTATTGGCAGGAAGTCAGTGCTCCTAGCCAAGAAATACTCCTACACACCTAACTTCCTGTTTGTTTGGTTTTTTTACAGTTGATACAGATAACATAAAACATGTTAGCCAATATATTTTGCTGATTATGCCTTTAAAACCTAATAAACGAGTATCTTTTTGTTGATTGGACTGATAAAGATGGTGAGAGCTGATTATTGTATAAATGATTGTTGTTTCATAAAGATTACTGTGTCTAGAGTTCGTACCGTGGGTCAAAGTCAGCGATGGTTTTCAAAGACTCTGGGCATCGCAGGAGTTTGTCCAAAATGTTGACGATGTCTGTGAAGCGAGGTCGTTTGGAGCGGTCGTGCTGCCAACACTGGAGCATGAGCTGGTAGATGGCGGACGGGCAGTCCATCGGGGCAGGAAGCCGGAAGGCCTCGTTGATAGCCTTCATGACCTGAGGAAGAGAAGACGGCGTGAAGGCAGGGCCTACGTTCAGGGAGCTTTTATGGTTTGAACAGGCAGCCGTCCAACAAACCGCTGTACTCGCGTGTTGATATTAACAGTTAATTTGAAGTGGACGGTGGGAAACAACACCACACCCCTGAAGAAACTCTCTGTGCAAATATACATTAACTAAACAATCCCTCATCTCAACCACAAGTGCTGCGGAGGACGAAACATACCTCATGGTTGCTCATGTCCCAGTAGGGTCGTTCTCCGAATGCCATGACTTCCCACATGACGATGCCGAAGCTCCACACGTCGCTGGCTGAGGTGAACTTCCTGTATTCGATAGCCTCTGGGGCCGTCCAGCGGATGGGGATTTTGCCTCCCTGACAGAAAAGAACCATTAACAAATCATATTTAATGGACGGAGGGGAGTGGAAACACGAGGCGCTGAAAGACCAACACCTTAGATTGGACACTGGAGACTGGACATACAATTAATAACCTAGCAGATGTTAGAAGACGAAAAAAAGCAAGCGTTGCTCTCTCTCGCTGTGCTTTTAGGCTGCTTCACTTACTCTGGTTGTGTAGGTGCCCTCAGCGTCGTTCTCCAGGATACGCGACAGGCCGAAGTCGGACACTTTACACTCCAGGTTGCTGTTGACCAGGACGTTCCTTGCTGCCAGGTCCCGGTGTACGTAGTTCATGTCGGAGAGGTATTTCATGCCTGCAGCTATTCCACGCAGCATTCCCGCCAGCTGGTACGGAGGAATCTCTCCATCGCGATCCTAAAGGATATATAGTATAGTATAGTTACAGTGATGAACCTGAAAGCAGCACAAAGGGGCCAAACTGTGTTAGCTTAGCATAAACACTTTAAAGAGCCACCCTCCTTCAAATACATCATCCTCTAATGTAATCCACGACAATGAAATCCATTTTATTTCAGTTTAAATGTCAAAAGGGTGCCTGAGGTTTTCTTAGCAAGAGTTTTTCGAGGATATAAAAATTAAGCTAACGTCATCCGACCATCGAAACACATGCACCTACCTTCAGGTATGTGTCCAGAGCTCCGTTCTCCATGTATTCTGTCACAATCATGGCAGGCTTGACTGGAAATTTAAACAAAAAAGACGATGTTAAGTGAAAGCAAAGTAGACCAGAAGTTGACTGGAGTTCATTTTTAATGGCCGCTGAGTTTCTGTCTGAGGCCGTTGACTCACATTTGGTGACGACTCCCTCCAGGCGGATGATGTTGGGATGGGAGAACTGACCCATGATGCTGGCCTCGCTCAAGAAGTCCTGTCTTTGTTTCTCCGAGAATCCCGGCTTCAGGGTCTTGATGGCTACGGCCACCTCGCCTTTCAGAGGAGTCTTCATCACGCCCCGAAACACTTCCCCGAACTCTCCTGGTTGGCAGAGCAGGAGGAAATATTACAAACTGCGCCCTGAGATTTCGCGAAACGGAGGGTAAGCGATCGGAAAACACTCACCTACACCGATGACTTTCTGCTTGTTGATCGCGCCCGGGTCGATTTCTGTGACGAACTTGTGAATGGCGATGTTGGGGTCCTCGTACATATGTGGGTCGACGTACGTCTTTAGCGGCTTTAGCTGATCTGAGGAGGAAATAATGACCAGAATGTAAGGCGAAATAAGAACAATTACATCACTAAATAATAAAGAATTATGACTGCAGGTTTGCTAACCTGGTGAGAAGTAGGGATCCTCAGGTCCTCCCCTGCCACGAGAGTTCAGTCTCCTGAAAGGAAAACAAGACTAATAACTATCGGACTACGCAGATAACAGGCTGACTTATTAGTAATTGCAGGTCTGAAAAACATGAAGGGTGTATTCAAAGTATTCTTCCTTTACTCCAGCCTGTGGCACATAATAACACAGCTGGCAGGCCTGCAGATAATATTTATCTGAATGACACACATGTTGAATGTGGATGCGAAGCGTGCCGTTACCAACCGTTTACGCAGCAGCAGCACGGCCACCACAACAAGCAGCATAACCGCCACTCCCACGACAGCTCCCATCACCATGGTGGACTTGTTCTGGACCTGAGACTCAGCTGCACAAATCACAGAAAGACATATCAGCCCCTGAAGGCGACACAGAGAAGCATTTATTTGAGCTTCTGCAGGTTTTAAGTGTTTTTTTTTCTTACCTAATGGCGACGTATGAAACTCGTGCTCCACGCTGTAGCTGCCGGGGCTGCCCTCCGGACTCAGCGCCTGAACCCGAAACATGTAAGTGGTGTCTGGGGTGAGGTCGTTAATGTGGACGGAGCTTTTCTCCAGGATGAGGACCGTGTAGGTGGTGACATCACGCTCGCCTTCATCGTCCTGCAAAGTGAAAAATTAAAAGTGGGCGGATTAGAAAAAGCTTGAACTGCCTACATTTTGTTTGACTTGTTAAACGAAAATAAATACACAGGCGCCCAGAGCTCTCCATCTTACTTTTCTGCGGTACATGAGCTCGTAGCGGTGATTGATGTGGGCAGGAGGTCTGCGAGACAGAGTCCAGGACAGAGACAGACTGGTGGGGCCGCGATCATCCAGATGGATCAACGTCACCTTGGGGGGATCTAAGAGTCGGCGAGAGACAGAAAGCAAAATAATGGTTAGTGACTAATCACAGTCTTTGGAAAGGACATTTGGAAATGAAAGCCTTCGGGACTCAGCGGGTCAGACTGAATTCCTCTCTGTGCAGTGAGTCAGTTTCTGTATGTTGCTCTTTCGCTGATAGCTGCAGCGTTACATGAGAAATGACCTCAGTTTCTTTGTCTAATGTCCTCTTTGAGACCACTGGTCCTCTGTAACAGCTTAAAAGACAAACTGAACACACCTATTTTTTTAGATATAAACCCCAAATTCCACATCAACCTGCAGGGATTGTGACACATTAGCGTCTGTGCAACCTCAAACAATAAGGACATAAAGTCAACACCTGAAAACATGAGGCTAAAACTCACCTGTGTAGTCCAGAGCGGTGGTGATGGTAGCGGTGGCCCTCTCGGCGCTGAACTCGGACACGCCGCTGTGAGCCTCCACGGTGAACGTGTAGTTCAGGTGAGAATCCAGGTCGTTGACGATGACCGAGGTGTCCTGCAGGTCCGCAGGCCCGGTTTCAAAACGGATCTTCTCGCCGCAGGGAATGCACAAGCCCTCGTCGCAATGCTCGCACACCACGCTGTAGGTGAGGTCGCTACGGCCGCCGGTCACCAGCGGTGGGCTCCAGGACAGCTGCAGCCGGCCCTCTGCTGACAGGGTGGTGGACACCAGGTCCTGAGGGGCGCTGGGTGGCGCTGTGGAAGTAAATGACACAAGACAGTCAGAATGATTGTCCAAACTGCCTCCGATGAGCTAACAGTTGACAGTGAGGGGGATTCTTACCGGAGCAGGCTGATGTAGGAGGGTCTGAGGGGGAGCGGAAGAAACCCTCCTCGCAGAGACACTCGGTGGCGCCGGCCGCCGAGGGCTTGGTGTTATCAGGACAAACGTGACATAACTCGCTCGATACCGATGGCTTGAAGTAGCCTGGTTTACATGCTGTGTGAGAGAAAGAAAGAAGGTGTACTTAAGCATGACATATGAAAGAGACAAACACAGGAAGGAATGAATGATCAAAATGCAAACAATAAGGCGGTCTGTGTAACACTAGCCCCTTCCACCCTACAGGAAGCACTCGTTGTGAGCAACCTATAATCACAGAGTCTTTGTATTCAGAGGAATGAGCAGGGATTTCCCTGACGATCTGCCTTCACTCGCCTTTTTCGCCTGGAGGCCTAATCTCAGGTCACACTGCCAGTGTCAACCGGATGACAGAGGAGCTTTAAATCCACCAGGTGACCTGATCTGCCTCTCCCCTGTGAACTCTCAGCTCGTGTTCTCTGGCAGATAATATTTGTGTTTTCGCCAAAGGAAACGGGCCTTTGGACACTGGCAGGGAGCTGTGCTGGACGTTTCAGCGCACGGACAAACAGCCTTCCAGGGCACGGGAGGTTAATGAACATGCAGACAGGACAGAAATCACAAGGCGAGAGCTGCAGCTCAGTCTGAGGCCGAGTTTCCTCCCTTTCTTCCTTCCTTCCGCTAACCCCCGACACCAGTCGCAAATTACAGCATCCAAGGTTGAATAGTTAGCGGACAAGAGCATCAGGAAAGCGGAAAAGCTGCAGACGGAGTGTGTTCTCCGTGTTTTTATGGAAACAGATGCACATAGTTTCTAACTGGGGTAATGCTGCCTGTGAGTGAAACAACAGAAAAAGTGTGGACTCAAAGTACGGCGTTATGAAAGATCTCCTCTCCCTGCTTTCATTCTGCCGTCTCCCCGGGGAGCCGTCTTTCATCTGGCCCCTGCGCTGGTGGCCGAGAGAAAAGGTCGAGTGAACCCTGGATTGAAGACGTGGTCGCGTTACTTCGCCACCAAGGCAGAAGGACCTTTTGCACCCCGAGTACTTCAGCCGCGGAGGAGAAGGAGCAGGTTGAGTTCGAGGAGAAGGGATAAGGATGAATAGATAGACGGGTGGGGGATGGGGGTAGAGGTCTGGAGCACCAACAGAAGCTCTCTCTGGGGAGTCACTTGGCGGCAGAGGGGGTGTAGCTGAGGTTTTTCGCATAAGAAAAGGGGGCCAGCCCATTTCATCTTGAGCTGGAGCAGCAGGACCTCTGTCACGTACCAAAGAAACTCCAGCCCTATTCATCCATTGTCTCCGAGGCTGGACAGAGTGGTGCCATAAATATGTTGCATTACTGATTATACAGTCGGCGGCATGTGTGCAGAGCAGGAATGCAAACATCGTTAATGCAGTGTGTCGCAATCGTGGATCTCAGTGTTCACGCAGAGATTCTAGCTTCAGTTTTGTTGATATCTTTTCTAGAACATCGGTTTGAATTGTGATCCCAAACTTTCACTGAGTTTTCTTTTCACTTGTTGATGGAGGTTCTAATTGTCCCGCGCTCTCTTTGACTACGACACCTGTGAATAGGACTTAAGTTCTGCACCGGTGCATCTGTTAATTGAATCTGTTTTCTGCTCTTTGTGCCGGCCCATTGTTCTAACGAGTGGGAACACGGATTAGGGAGCTCGTTGCGTGTGTTAACAACCGGATGAAAGAGCAAAGGGAGGCAAAGCGGGGCATGTCATTGGCTAACAGCTGTCCTGTTGCTCTACTAATCCTCTTGACTAAATTACACTCCACACCTAACTAAGCAGCCACGAAACTAACCTCCCTCGTGCACCAACTGTCGACTCGCTCCCCACCCTCCGACTCCGACCAAGGACAACCTGCTTATTTGTGTCAGTCAGCATTCCTCCTCATCTCGCTTTACTTCCTTTTCCCACAACAGTTGGGCTCTTCGGTGGAATCCACATGCAGGCCACGAGGCTATCACTTTCTCTGGCTATCGTTTGGAACGACGTCGTGGATTTCACACGTTAAGAGTTTTGGCTGGAAGAAGTTTTATTTGTGCAATAAAACATGTTTCCTGAAAAATCCACACAGTTCTTCCCACCAGAAATTTTTCCCGTCTTCTTCCGTTTCAGGTGCTCGGCTCAGGGTCACCGGGAACCTCAAAGACGGAAACATTCCTCTGTCTTGACTTGCCTTCCTTCTCCGACTCGGTTTCATTTCTCCAACCTCTGCACAGGATTCGAGCTTTGAAATGCGATACTGATCTTTAAATTGTACGTTGGGCCGAAACTTTTTTTAGTGCCGTCTCTATTTGTTCTGTATAACGTCGGTGTGAAGTGTGTCGCTTTTGGAAAGCCTCGGCGGACATCTTTGAATATCTCATTTCAAAAGATCTTCAGTTACAAAAGACCGAAACAAGTAAAACAGAACCGGTGGCCTTGTCGCACTTTCGGAAGCAGGGAGTAATTAAATGGGTCATCTGTCAAAAGTTCAATTATCAGAAGATTTACTACACAAGTAGCGGCTTAACTCTTACTATGACTGATTTACAGGAACTGACTCTGCCAGTCAAGGTGACTCGGACCATCAGGAGTCATAAACCGCAGCCTGACTCAGTCTAACCTCCGATAGGCGTGTCCACCTCATCCCTGTAATCTGCGGTTCCCGTCGCCTTAGCAACCCGGCCCAAAACAAATACTTGCGAGGAGAAGACACGCCACTCAGGTACTCATTCTGACACATTCACACGGCCCTTCCTTTAGTCAATCAGTGCTGTAGGTGACGCGAGGATGTAAGAATTCCTTTCAGAAATCCCCGCAGCGTACTGTGCCCTTCCTCCCTCCTTCCTCTCTCCGTGCCGTCTCTCCTCCCACGTTTCCTCCAGACAGTTCAACACACCACACCCCAGAATGCCAAAAGACAGGCCAGCTTCCACACAAACAGTAGGAGTGCTTACAGTACCAACACCACAGCTGTGTGTTTTTTTTCATAGACACACAGGTCTCTCTCCAGGGCACCACATTCCTCAAACTGTTTGCATACTTTACCTTCGTGTTGGTTGCCCTTAGTTTCAAAATGATACGTGGCTCTGCTCCTTTTTATTCAAGTTTAAAAACAACCTTTCCATAATCGTCCTGATCACTAAGTTGAAAATTAACAACAAATTCATCAAGTTGCCAAATCAGTTCAAAAGAGAAAACAACCAACTTGTTTTTGAGTTTCCTCTGCGCTCTGAATTGTGGGACAACACTCTCCATCAACACCACATTCAACATCCTTTTGTCATTTTTACAGCGTAAACACAACAAAATTCAAAGTCCAGTCACAGAACTGGGACGCCACTTCTTGCACTGTACATTATCACCTAGAGCCATAGAGCCATCCATAAAAACAGCTGAGCCCCATTCCTGAAACCTGAGAGAAAGGCAGTGGAAAGAATGCGCTATTGGCCAAAAGGTAAGGAGATGAGGAGGCATCAGTGGGGAGGCTGCTGGAGTTTCCTCACAGATCTCTCTCTGTTTGATATGGAGAAATCCACCCTAAAATCTTAGCAAAACAAATAGACTTAGACATGTGTCTGCTGTGCTTTCCATTGCCTAATCCTGCCGTAGCTCACCTACACACAGATTCGGAGTGTTTTTGCAGCAGATTTCCAAACAAACCAGACACAATTAACATTCCTGCGCACTCATTCCTCCCACCACGACAAGTTAGTGGTTGGAGGTGTTTCGTCGGCTACAACTCCCAGAGCAACACAAATACGTCTCAGTTGAGTGCGTGGCACATTTCTGGCAGTGCTTACCTTGGCAGGAGTCCCCGGTGGTTTCGTAGCCTGCGAGACACTGGCACTGACCCACGGGAACCACCCATTCACCCTCAGCTGTGCAGTAGATGCGTGGGGTGGCCTGACTGACGGCGTTCTCCACGCAGGCTCCCTCCACCTCCCGGAGGGCATCTGCCACCGTCTCCGGGAAGGCCGCCAGGCTCTGCACCGTGGACGGGCACGTCTTGTAGTACACTCTGGCGGACAGCAGCGCCACACAAGCCCCCATGTCCTGGAAAGCCAGGTAGAAGCCCTTTCTGGACAGAGGCCCCACCGTCCTGGTCTCCGTGTTGACCTTCAGCACGCGGCCCCGGGTCACCTCGTCGGGAGCGATGGTGGCCACTTTCCGGAACTGTCCTTTGCGGAAGTTGGTTCCCACGTCGGCGTCGGCCTCCGAGATGAAAAGGTTGAAGGTTTCTTTGCAGGCAACGGAGGCGCCGTCGAAAGTGTTGCAGTCCCGCACAACAAAAAGGAGTTCCACGGAGACCCGCGTCGCCCCCGGGCGCCGCTGGATGAACGTCGTCCGCAACCAGTTGTCCTGCTCAGTAGAGTCGATGCTGCAAACGCTGTAGGTGTAGTAAAGGGAGCCGTTCACCACCGTCTGGACTATCTCCCACTGTAGAGCACCAAAAAGATAGAGAGGGATCAGCTTCAGGGGCAAAAGTCACTGTTACCAGGCAACAATAATGAAAGGAGAAAAGGCATTTTTTCCAGGGAATAAGTACGGGGTTCAGACACTTTGTTCTTGCCAAGAACCGGTTTTATTGATGAGACACCTCTTCTTTCATGCTCACTGAGAAGCTCATAAAGCGTAGAAGCAAGCTTTTTTTTTTCCACACATTAAGATCATTGGCCTGGACATGTGCTGCGCTCACGACGTGTGTGGTTTTCCACCGACACACAAGGGTGCATGTGTGTGACACATAAATCCAGCAAATACTACTGGAGGACGCCAACTAACATTTATGGCGGTTAAATGGGCTTTATAAGCGCAGCGCTGCTACAGGCATGGCAGCGAAATTGGCAGCAATTAAGACTTTTTAAGAGAGGGAAGCAATGACGAGTAAAAAGATTAAAAGCCTCAATTTAGCATTAAAATTTAACACCTCATGTGGTAGCGCTTCAGGTGGGTTTCAAGGAATAAATCGTCGGTTAAACTGCTGTTGGAAAAGAGAAGCATCAAACTTTTTCCTTTTTTTTTTTAAAGTTTCTTTTGTACCATTAGAATAAAAGTGGACTTTATGACCGTCTGAGCCTTTAAACTTTTATTTAATAACTTCTAACCCACAATCGTCAGCTCAATTTAATAACAATGGAAATTATCATTAAATTAACCCTTGTACAATCTGAAATACACAAGAAGTTGCACAAGCACGTCGAGATAGACAAAAGGAAATCCTATCTGATCCCACGACAAGCCTCAGATCTTTGAGAACAGTCACACCAGAAACGAAGCCCACACACACTTGAACCGTGTCCTGTTGCTTTTTTTAGCCGGAAAGCCACTGAACTATAGATAGGGACGGCACGGATGGTTCTGCACATATGGACCAGACTTTCTTTTTTCTCTTTACCCTCGCGTCCTCCCATTGTGCATTATCTTATTACAGGGATCTCTAAACTCGGAGAGGCATCACGAGGGCAAATAAAGAGAGACATCCTAAAAGGGTTGTTTCATGGTTTAGTGCGGGGAGTGAAAACCGCCTACTGTGAATGTGAAAAATGCACTTTGGTACTGTAAATTTAAATGTAGGTTGAACCTTGACATTTTAATGGCATTCATAAGTTCTTTATGAAAGGGTAGCATTAACACAAGGCTAGCGGAGCTCTGCCAAACCTCATCGAGCTGCCACTCATTCCATCTCTCCCAGAGAGCTTTTTTGGTGGAGTGAACGAGCAGGAAGAGGCCTCCGTTATTGTCACCCAGCAAATTCTTGCAACAAAAAAATGCTCGCTTATCTACTCGCTGCTGCTCTTCGGAGGAATACAGTTTTGGGAAGTGAACATGAAGTCTTAAAAATGCCTGTTGAGGTATAAATACTCACCCCGTTCTCGTATGGCAACGTCAGCCAGCCCAGCTCTGATCCTGAAGCCCTCATATCCAGCAATACTTCTGCAGGAAAACGTGTTCAGAGAAAATAATAAAGATTCAACTGTGAAGGAAAGACACTATAAAAAGCCCCAATTTTACAGACTTTATCCTCCCCTGGGAAACACAGCAGGCTGTGGGGTAGTATATCAGTTATTGGGCTGTTAAATGAGCTTTGATTTGACTGTACAGCTGGATCCTCTGGCTTGATCCTCGGGGCCAGAGGCTTTATGGGGGGCACATGCCACGCTTTGACGCTTTAATCGAGCATGTCGCTGTGATTCAGGACTTCATTGACCGTGTCCTCCAGGTCCAGGATACAGAACTAATAATGTCTGAGAAAGGCGTGGGCTGCTAAATTGGCATGACGAGGAAAATACATGAATCTGTGTCGCAAGTGAAACTAAAAAAGTCCTGACATGCATCAAACAGGTGTCCTGTAGTCCTGAAGCTGAGCAGATCCAGCAGGAAAACTGATTCAACAAAGCCTGGTATTGATATAAAACGACTTTTTTTTCTTGTTTAAAGTCATTTTTAATTATTAGGAGATATATTAACAGGAAGGAGATTTACTCAGAGCACACCGCGCTGGATAGGATTTAAAGAAGTGACTACAAAAAACAGAAATAAAAGCAGAAATCAGTTTTATGGACAAATAAAGGATCTAAACTCGACAATAGCACAGTAGTCAAATGAGAGTTATGAAATTCCAGCCCAGTGACTCATAAGGTGCGGCAGGTTCCAGCTGAGCGACACTTTATCTCGGTATTGTAAAAAAAAAAAAGGACAAAGCTAAAAGTACTCACGTTCTTTGGACTGGAGGCTGACACACACTCGGCTGGCGACTAGAAACAGGACCAGGAAGACCCCACGCAGCTCCATGTTTCCACACAACTTCTAAAAAAGTCGTGTCCGCGTATCTCGAAGTCTCTCCTCCGTCTCCGCGTCCCTCCGGTTCTCCGGTCCGCCGGCTCTGTGCGCACGAGCCCGCAGCCCATTCAGAAACAGGTGGCGTCATCGCTCCGCCTCGCGCCCTTTGGAATGCGGAAAGCTTCCTAATATGGGCGGCGGGGGGGCGGGGCCAGGCACCTGTTTCATTGAGAAAGATGCCTTCATTTACAGTCCCGTCAGTGTACTGAGTGATAAAAGTTCTGTTTAATCAGGTAATAAATATAACATTAGAAATGGCTTCACATGATTTATATTTATTCTACTATGTGTAGCTTCCATCTTCTATTTATATACAGAACCTGTACACATGTTTACATAAAACTGCACCTTATATGTACTTTTTGCACTAATATAAGCCATTATTAGTTTTTGTAAAATGTCAAGCAATGTGCAATATCCAGAAGTGCAGCATCAGTTATACATAACGTTTTTAAAGCGTTGTTTTTTGTTTGGTTTTTTTTACACCAAAGAAGCTATATCACTGTTTTCATGGTATTTTTATTATATCTTCATATTTTATATTTGCACATTTCTAACTGTTGTTGTCTGATTGGCTGTATTGACAGAATCCTGCTTTATTTTGTTGTTCACTGTGCATTGAATAAATTCTGTTCTTTTCTATTCAAATAACGTCACGTTTTGGATGAAATAATAATAATGAAATAACTGTTAGTTGCAGCTCTTACTTGCCACCAAACCGTATAACTCCAATAAAAACTGAGAACTTGTAAAGGATCACATAAAGAATGTGAAGAACCCTAAATAAAGAGGTTTTAAAGAACCAGAGAGCTTTCTGAAGAGCCATCGACCAACTATTATTTATCTGAGAGCACTTTTACAGCTCATAATCCCAACGCAGCGTTTTGATATCTGCACTTTAATATATACACGAAGGAATTTCCTTATTTAAAAGTCGCTTTTTAAATCTATAATCTGTTGTTTCACCATGCATATGTTGACATTATTATTATTATTCCATCAGCAGTTTGTATTTTAAGCTATATTTGATCTGATTTTATATTTTTTGAATCCTTTCATAGCAAATATTCACCATAAGGAATGATTCTTCCACGATATACATGATGTTGTTTTACTACTGGTTCTTTAAAAGTTTATTATCATTTGAATTGTTGTAAAGTCACAAAAGAAAATTATGTAAATACACCTAAGTCTCACACTTTCTGCAGCACCTCAGTAAATGTATTCGATTACTTTTCAACCAAATGCAATAGTTTAAGACTTTTAAAACTTGGTCAGTATTCAAAAGATGATTATTTTGTTAAGTTGTGAACATGCTTTACATTCACTTATCTTGTCCTGTTTTACATCTTGTGCCTTCAGGTTCATTATTTAATCAGTTTTAAGCATTTTTAAACAGAAATTTAGTTTTAAATTTTGAGGTATTTTTAGATAAATCATTCTCATTTTTGTGTCTTTGTAAAGTTTATCTCTGGCGTCCTGTCTTGCACTTGTGATGGTAATCTGAAGCTGTGGTGTAGATGTAAACAACCGAGCCGGTCCGTCTGTCCGTACACTTGCACTTGCTACGTAAACATACGCTTCAGAACCATCGACGATGTTTACTCTGTCCTGAAATTTTAAACTGTGGCAATAAATGTTTGAAACAAAGCGTCAGTGATACAGTGCAAATACATGTGGGCTCTGGTGACAGTTCAGAAGTGTGTTTAAGTTGAACAATCATTTGACCGCCTTCCAAGTAATTGCCTGAATCCTCAACATCTCGTCCAGGGCTTGTCTTTCCCACGACTGGTAAAGGAGGGGTCAAGTGGGGGGGTGGTCTGGTATGAATATATGACTACTAATGAGACAGTCCTCATAAAGAACCTTACAATTTGGGTATGAATATGTGACCACAAAGACGATGTGACAATGGCATCACCTAGCAACTCTTATCTGGAGGAATTCCAGAGTCAAGTCTCGTCTGTGAAGCGGCATGTACTTGGTACGAAGAGCCCCTCAGGCTGAGAGCCAAACACAGCCGACCGGCCTCACAAAGAGCCCCCCGAAAAAATCAACTGAAGAGTCGCACATTGTCCCGTCCAGCGTTACCATACACGGACATTAATCATACAACAGACAGAGTGAAAGATGCCGGTGAAAGAAATAGATTAACAAGTTAAGTGTGGGTTGAATTATGACTCCGTGACCTTCAGATCACAATCGCTTCAATTGCTTACAGAATGTAATTGTAGTTTAACTTGATGAGTGGCTATAAAGACAGCTCCACCCGTTGGGGAGAGAAGCGAAAAGACTCCTTTATTAAATTATGCACTGCAATTAAAGTGCGATATATTTATTCTACCGTTTGGCTGCTCATTCCTAACTGTCAATACTTCCTACTGGCTTCTTTTGTACATATAGTTCTATATTCTTATTTGTCTTTGTTTTTTCTTGTATTTGGCACCACTGGAGTTGTCTTTGAACTTCGTTGTACTTTGTGTATGATGACAATAAAATGCATTCTACTCTAAAGATGAACTTTTTGGACTTCTTATGAAAGTTCCTTTGAATGTGTGTATCTTAAATCTTCATTTATAGTATTTAGGTAACACTTTTCTCTCACAGTGCAGAAAAATGTGAATTATCTCCCCAACCTTTATTCGTCAGCTTCCACACATATTTCACTCGTAGCGGTGCTTTTATGCAACCAAATCTGAGTTTTGTGGCTCCCAAAGACCCTCACAAACCCCCACAAAGACCCAAAACCATTCGGTAACATGGACATATCCCTTACTTTTAAATTGGCCGACACACTTTGTTTTGAGGACGAACCGCCACTCGAAGGAATCTTGAATCTGAAGCGCTCCTCCTCTCTGCTCTTTATCGGCTTTGATACACGCTGAGGTGCGCTGAGGTGTTATTTTCGAGTGTGTTAATGGTTAGACTGGGAGAAGTGGTTCCTGTTGTCATCCAGTCCTCCGAGGTGTCAAAGGTTAACACCCTCTCTAACACGCACAAGTATGCAAATGCTTTCATTACAATACAGGCTGCTTCTTATTCACCTAGCAGAGCATGTGTCCTGCTGGAGAGCGGACCGCCGCCTCAGATCGCTCAACCCTCCGGGTCGCCCAAAATCCTCCTCCCCCCCTCAACCCACCCTCAGGTCCCGGGCTTCAGAGGGCGATGACAACACAAAAGTACTTCACACTGGGGGCTGGGCCTGCATTTTGTGGGTCAGCGAACAACGGCCGAGGCAGCAGCGCCGTGTCATTCAGACCTGGGCCCCCCCCGTCCCCGTCCCACCCCCGCTTTCCTTACACTTCTTGTGGTATCAGCAAACAGAGAGGAGGAACACTGCTGAAAGCGCCGGGGAGGTTTTGTGTATCGCCAACAGAAAACGCACCTACTGTTTTCCACCACTCCCACAGCGAGGGTCCCACAAATCCCTGTTAGGAAATGATGGATTCTCACGTTTTGATGCTTATCGGTCAGATGGATTATTTACTTAGGAGAGGTGGCGACATCACACCACACGCAGAAATAGTCCACGACAAGCAGCAGCAGCAGCAGCAAGGTGGACTTAAAAATAAAATACTGATTTATGGAGAACAGCCTCAGCGTCAGTTTATCATGTGACCAAGTTGTTATAAAAGTACTTTAATGTTTGATGCAGTCGGTGAAGGTGGAGCTGCTCCACTTAACACGCTGTAGAGGAGTTTAATGTGTACCCATGCATCATCATATTTAAGGATTCAAGGAACTTTATTTGTCACGCCGGCTCACATTCACGCGTTAGTGGTACGAAATTTGCACTCAGGTCCCGGTTTTCTTAAGAAATAGCCTCATAAATAATAAGTACAATAAAACAAGAGCAAAATATGAGTGAAAGTAAAAATACAATAAGAGTAGAAAAGCCTCAGTTAGTTGTTTTTAGCTTTAAATATTTGTGTAGCAGCGAGGTAGACGGAAATGCACACATATGTTTAAAATATCATCATAAACTATAGCTTGATTGACTTATTGATTTATTTTTACTTATTTCTATCTCTCTCCCTCTCTCTACACTCATACATATATTTATTTCTTGTGTGTTTTATTCTTTATTCATCTTATTATTAATGTTTCGGTGTGGAACAGGTGAACAACGCATTTCACTGCTCGTTACACCGTGTATAACTCTGTTTATGACCAATAAAGGCCTTGAATCCTTGAGCCTTGAATAGGCTAAATCTGTACTTGAAAAGTAGCTGCGTCTGCTAAATAAACAGCATGAAATAATAGTGAAACAAAAAGCACAATATTTCACAATGAAATAAAATATGAAAGTAGAGAGCTTTTAAAGGGGGGCCACACATCATGCCTGTGGAAGCTTCAGTCATAAGTTTGACGCCAACATTTCTTTTTGTTTCTTACAGATTTAATCGCCTCCTTCCAGTTAAACTCTGAGTTTTGTTTGAAGAAACCGGTTGATAATCTGACTCTATCTGAGTCACAGTAAATTTTGACCACATCTGTGAATCTTTTCAGATAATCCTGTCGGTTTGAAAAAGGTTTTACGAGCTTACGAAGCGTGCGACTTCTTATCTGATAACAGAAATGTCACACGCAGCATGAGTCGTGTTTGAAATCTGAAAACAACAACAGGAGCAACAACCACATCCTTCCATTCACCGCTTTAACGACGCACAGCTCGAGCTAGAAGTAGAATTTCACCAGAACTAAATAAAAACCCCGAGGCCCCATACTGCTGCCAATCAGCTAACAGCAGCGTGCCCTAATAATAATACAATAAAACCAGCCACGGAGCAGCAACACCCTTTTATAAGCCTCGCAAACAGTGAATGGATGTTGTGGAAGCTTCTTTATTCTACGCGGCCTGTTGTCTGCTCTCTGCTGAAAAGCCTGCGCATTTCTTTTTTCCCCTCCGTGTCCTCAGTCGTTTCCTTTCTAAAAGCTTCACATGCCACCTCTGGAAACACTACCTCTCCGGGCTGGAATTCGGGGCGGGCCTCTGATGTCTATGTGGGCAGCGTTATGTGCGGCGCAGCGATCAGAAAC